CTTTATCAATGCTGGCATGAATTCACACACCACTGTGTGATGTAATACAAAAACTTGAAACAGAAGATGCTACCCTCCCCTCATTCCCTGCATTATTGGGAATTTTTTCAGCATGACAATGAATATATTCATTCTCCCAAGGTGAAAATCCTTCAGTGGACATGTATTTCACTCAATCTTAATCCTGAGCAGCTGTGGTGAGATATGTTGTAAAGACGAGCTGAGCAACACTCCTCATTAAAGACCAGGGCATTTAAGGAGGTCCTCCAGGAGTTAAACAGCACAGATGTGGAAATGTGTCATGAACTTGTACACTCAGTGCCAAGAAGTGTCAGAGCAGTGTACTTAGAGTTATGGAGGACATATTAAGTTTTTCTGAATTAAATCTAGTGTGTACTCATTTCTGCAATCCTTCATTTAAACAAAACTGGCTAATTTACTTATCTTACAGAAAATATCGGCATGTATTTTGTTGTTTTTATGAAGTATATGCTTAATATGTTTAGATGTTGCCATCTTTCCATGAATTATATTAGTGATCATTAAGAAAATACATCTTTTATATTTATTCAGAGGGGGTGTACTCATTTATACTGTGCACTGTATGTGCTCTGACCTATGATGCGCTGCTAACAATAACTAACTAATGACAATATATATGTGTATGTATGTGTACATTATATATATAATTCTACATTTGTTGGACTAAATACATTACTAAATACAAACTAAATTAAAACTAAAATAAAAAAATAAAAAGATTAATTGTTTTAATTGCTACAGATTAAAGCATCACAACATTATAGAGTATGAAAGATATATTTAGCTTTCTAAAGATTACATTGTGTTATTACATTAAAGTCACTTTAAGTGAGAGTTAGATAATGGCAAAGATTATTTACACTACTTAAATCACTACTCTTGAAAGAAAAAAAATAAATAAATAAATATATATATATATATATATATATACACATCAGTTTCCACAAAAATATTAATCAGCACAACAGAATGATTTCTGAAGCATCATGTAATGCATCTTTTATATTTATTCAGAGGGGGTGTACTCATTTATACTGTGCACTGTATACACACACACTCACACACTCTCTCACACACACACTCACACACTCTCTCACACACACACACACTCACACACTCTCTCACACACATACTCACACACTCTCTCACACACACACGCGCGCACACACTCACACACACACACATACTCACACACTCTCACACACATACTCACACTCTCTCACACACACACACACATACTCACACACACACTCTCTCTCTCTCACTCACACACACATACAGACACACACACACAAACACACACACTCTCTCTCTCTCACACAAAACACACACTCTCTCTCTCTCTCACACAAAACACACACACTCTCTCTCTCTCACACAAAACACACACACTCTCTCTCACACACACAAAACACACACACTCTCTCTCACACACACAAAACACACACACTCTCTCTCACACACAAACACACACACACACACATCTGGTGAAACCACGCTCCTGCTCGCCACGTCTTCTGCTCGTTGTGGCACGATAACGATCGGATTGAACAAAGTGTGTGTCGGGATTGGAAGTATTTTGGGAATCGTTCGGTTAAAGCATCTGTTGAGTCGATCAGTAGCGTGGTTTCTCTGCGTGAGCTTCAGTAGTCTAGCTCTGCACAATCACACTCCTGGGTCAAAAATGAGTTTGACGCCAATGTCTCTTCAATTGGCAGCAGGTTCAACAGGAGCACAGGCGCCTCATCTTGCCGTTTTTCACCCAGAGTTGTGTTTGTGCTGTAGTTTTAGTCCTGTAGTCTTTGTGCCCTCTAGTGTTGCAGTTCCACACCAAACACTGACGCAGTCCGGCTGGAGTAGTTATTAGTCGTGTGTGTGTGTGTGTGTGTGTTCATGACAGTACAATGAGACGTGTTTTTCTCTCTCATTGATACTGATGCTCTCGCTCATAATAAATGTTTTATTTGTTTTTGCATCTTTTCTCTTCAGTTGTTGTTTTGGGTGGGGTGGCAGTTAAAATTCTCACATACGTTTTGGGCAATAACTTGAATGACCGAGGAACAGAAGATCTTCAAATTGTTGCCATATGATCCTGATGGAGACAACCAAAAAGGATGTGAGGCTGTGTCTTTGCAGCACTTGACCTGATATCTATATTATTGAAACGATGCCCTGTGTGTAGTTTGTCGTTATTCCAAACTATTTTTGGGCCGAATCACTTTGTGTTTTACTCTGTTAACAACATAAAACAGGCTCATCAAACAGGGTTTGTGTACCATTTCATCTTTGTGGAAATCGTTTCAACTGAACGTGATCTGAACAAATTGATCCCGTGAACCTCACAAAAGACCTTTACAAGGCCTCTGCTAAAGAGCTCAAACGTGAGCCACACTCAAGCTGTTAATGTTGAATATCATGATGTACTCATAACATCTGAGGTACGTCTGAGAATCAGCACCGCTGCTCTGTTCTTCACCTGACCGCTGTCTTTAGTGGAGGAATATGGTTTAACTTTTACATGTGTTGTTTGAGATGGTTATTGTCAGCTGCAGGTGTCGTAGTGTTAGCTTCAGCAACACAATCGAACACACTCTCTCTTCACTGGTGTAGATGTTCTCTCTCTGTCTGTCTCTTCACGTGTCTGCGGTCGGTCTCTCTCAGGCGTGTAAAGCTCAGCCCGGGGCGTCAGGTGGGGCTCATGGCTCCGGTCAGTCGCTGCCCCCCCACGTGAGTCCGCTGGATCAGGCTGAGGATCAGTCCAGTCCAGCCAAGAGGAAGAGGACCGCCAGCCCAGCCAAGGTTTGTGCTCCGTTTGCTCCGCTCAGCGCATCGCTGATATAATGACAGCAGTAATAATCTCTTCACATCACTCCTCAGAGTTCTACAGAGTCTTGGACCCACAGTTCAGCACAGCCACCAGCTCCCAACTGGTACCCGTCTCCTCAGAAGCTGCAGGTGAGAGCATGATGAACATCTCATTAGGGATGGAACGATTACTGGTTTGATGATAAATCATGATAAAATTCCCCACAGTTAGTATTGTAACGTTGGCGCAGTTGCAGCTTGTACTTATTAAAACAAATAGAACAAGAAACTAGCATTAATAGTCATTTAATTTAGTTAACATTTGCTATGATAAGTTTGAACAGATTTTTATTCTTATTGTAAAATAATAGAACATTAGGTCATGAATATTTTCTCAAAAGTCATGGAAATGTATTGGTAAAAATGTGTGCGAACCCTGCCTTGGCAGTGCCCCGGTGAGCTGCTTCTCACACAGGAGATCTTCCAATCTGTTTTTCTGATGTGACATCCATGACCGTTACTGAGCTGTTTTGGGTTGAACACCTTCATTGTGAACGCTGATGATTATTGTCAGTGGTTTAATCCGTCTGTCACTCTTCGTCTTGTTCCGCTCAGTTGCTGGAGCAGTTGCGAGTCAACCGTGCGAGTCTGAAGCCGCTTCAGCTGCAGATGTTGGAGCAGTTGGAGGCTCAGCTGTCAGCCATGCACCAGCAACAGGTACATCAGACCAGGACTCACGAAACTGTCTGAAGAAAAGAGTTTGAGTCATGAGAAGTGCATTAGAGAATTTTGCAAACTCGCGGTTCTCTGTGATGCATCATCATCTCAAGACTGTGGTGACACATTGATTATAAGGCTGTTTGTTTGACTTGCACATTTTTTTTGACCCTGTAAGTTTATAGTTGGATGTAATTTTTACCTGCAGATGACGCAAAGCTCTTCTGGGCAAATACGAGCCAGCCTCCCCAACGGCCCCTCACTGCCTGCTAACCCCGCTCCGCCGTTAGCCAACGGCCCGCAGCCCCCTTCAGTCGGCAATAATCACACGCCAGGAACCAGAACCAACGGAGACGTGCCTTACCTGCACCCCAACACACTACCTCACAACTGCACAAGCCCAGGAGACACATGGAGGAGCCAGCGTCTCAACTCCGCTCAGGTATGCACTTATACTCAAAACTGAGAGTTCAACACAATATAGAACAAACATGTGGTCATGACCCCGCCGCCTCCTGCACACCTCAGACCTGACAGGAACGATGAGATTTTCAGACATTGATCCATAAGTGTCTTTAGTGTGAAAAATATCTCATCTAATGTACTTCAGCTTCAGTATTTAAAAAAACAAGACAACTCCTGAGTGTTAGAGACATGACTAAAAACCTGTCTGAATGATGCAGGTCTCAATACTAGATTATCTGAACTATGTGCAGAAACGGCTTAATGCTAGCTCTAATCTGCTTCTGGTTCAAGATCTGAAAAATTGTTAGTATTCCATAATATCATTGTTTTCCTCAGTGCACAACATAAACATCTAAAAGGTTTTAAAGGGGTAGTTCACCCAAAAGTGAAAATTCCATCATTAATTACTTGTCCTCATGTCCTTTCAAACCTGTAGGACCTTCGTTCATCTTTGGAACACAATTTAAGATGTTTTTGATGAAATCCGAGAGCTTTCTGACCCTCCATAAACAGCAATGCGACCGACACGGAAGACTAGAAATCCTTGAATTTTGTTTTCTTTGTGCACAAAGTATTCTTGTAGCTTCGTAACAGTACGGTTGAACCACTGATGTCACATGGACTATTTTACCGATGTTCTTACTGTCTTTCTGGGCCATAAAATGTTTCAGTTGCGTTGCTGTCTATGAAGGGTCAGAGAGCTCTCGGATTTCATCAAAAACATCTTAAATTGTGTTCTGAAGATGAACGAAGGTCTTGCGGGTTTGGAACGACATGAGGGTGAGTAATTAATGACAGAATTTTCATTTTTGGGTGAACTATCTCTTTAAGGTTTTGTGACCCTTTAACTAGCAAAAAGGCCATGTTTAGCTGTGCCCCCACATTAACCTGTTACCTCATGACTTCCCTCTTAAAGCAATAGTAATTCTACAAATCTCTCCTCGTTTATGTTTGAGTTGACTTGAGCTTAATAATGGCACTATTGTTTTTTCGATCTGAGTGTGATCTGACTCCATTATTGAGGTTCCATTGATTCTGGTGGTGGTGACTTCTGAATTTCCTCTCGATTCAGGGGCTTCAGAAAGGTCCGGGTTCGCATTGGGCAGGTCCTAATGGAGACCGGACTCTCTCTTCCAGTGCTTCAGCCGACGGCGGCCCTCACAATCAGGTTGGACTTCCCGCCACGACCCCATCGGAGCCAGCTGTCAATCATCTGTCCTCTCCTTCCTCCACGTCGTCCCCCGCTTCTTCCTCCTCGCAAACGGCTACCTCAGGTGCGCCCCACGGCACCGGCCCGACCAAAGAGAGCGCCGCCCTGCAGGCCAACGGTTCTACTGCCGCCAACCACCACAGCCCCGACCGCTCCAGCGCCTCCTCGCCCGCCTCGTCCCCATCACCCCGCTGCGCCGCGCCGGCCGCCGTTAACGGGAGCGGAGGGGGAGCGTGTTCGGAGGACTCTCGGAGCCCGCTGAAGCTGGAGCCACCGGAGCTCTGCATCAAAGCAGCTCTCCAACCGTCTCGCTCGTCCTCCACTCCAGCGCCTCCTCGCCCGCCTCGTCCCCATCACCCCGCTGCGCCGCGCCGGCCGCCGTTAACGGGAGCGGAGGGGGAGCGTGTTCGGAGGACTCTCGGAGCCCGCTGAAGCTGGAGCCACCGGAGCTCTGCATCAAAGCAGCTCTCAAACCGTCTCGCTCGTCCTCCACCGTCTCCATTTACCCCACATCCACAGACGTCCTGAAGGCCTGCAGGTACGCCGAGCTCCTGTGGAGTGATGAGAGCATCGGCGCCCTCTAGTGGCGGCCCGTTGTTTCAGAGCTCGCCTTTGAATGCTAAACATTTCCTGATCATTTACTCACCCCCATGTCATCCAAGACGTTCATGTCTTTCTTTTGTTCAGTCGCAAAGAAATTTAATTTTTTGAGGAAAGCATTCCAGGATTTTTCTCCATATAGTGGACTTCAGTGGTGGCCAGTGAGTTGAACGTCTAAAATGCAGTTTCAATCAAAGAGCTCTACACGACCCCAGCTGAGGAATAAGGGTCTTATCTAATGAAACCATCGGTCATTTTCTGAAAAACAATTATATTTATACACTTTTAAACCACATAATGCTTGGCTTGGTCTAGCTCTGCGATGCGTGTCTTTATTAGCTGATGTTGGAAAAGTCACGCGAGACGTAGCACAACGATGAACAAAAATAAAACAACGATGTCGGATGATTTTAAAGTTGGAGGAGAAAATGAGATGGAGTTTTTAAACAAAGTACGAAGATGAAGAACTAACCGCGTGTGACTTTTCCAACATCAGCTAATAAAGACGCGCATCGCAGAGCTAACGCTAGCCAAGCATTTGTGGTTAAAAGTGTATAAATATTTATTTTTTCAGAAAATGACCGATGGTTTCATTAGATAAGACCCTTATTCCTCGGCTGGGGTCGTGTAGAGCTCTTTGATTGAAACTGCATTTTAGACGTTCAACTCACTGGCCACCACTGAAGTCCACTATATGGAGAAAAATCCTGGAATGTTTTCCTCAAAAAACGTGATTTTTTGACGACATGGGGGTGATTGACGACATGGGGGTGAGTAAATTATCAGGAAATGTTTATTCTGGAAGTGAACTTATGCTTTAATGCTGTTCAGGATCTGCTTCACACGCTGCTGACACACAAATCTTTAAAAACTGCTGATGGACTAAAATGTCTGGTTAAACATTTTGACTGAGTCTGGGCACAGATCTAACCATAACCACACACCAAACATGCTCTCTTTACGTTTGTTTAGAATCGCTGCGTTAATGTTGTTTGCACAGCGACTTGCACAGCGTGTTTCTCCTTGAGCTCCAACGGGTTTAAAGAGGTCATATGATGCAATTTCAAGCTTTCCTTTGTCTTTGGACTGTTACAAGCTGTTTGTGCATAGATAAGATCCGTAAAGTTGCAAAGACTAAAGTCTCAAACCCAAAGAGATATTGTTTATAGAAGTTAAGACTCGTCCACGCCTTCCTAAAATGCCTCGTTTAAACACACCCCCACATATCTACATCACTGTGTGGGAAGATCTGCATAACTCCGCCCAAATGTTTACGCAAAGAAGGCGTAACTTTTATTCTCGCTGTAGTATTGTTGTCGTGGAGACGCTGTGTGTTTCCAAATATGGTGAGTGGCGTAACATTTCCGTCACACGCTTGAGGTATTCGGCCAATCACTGCGCACTGGATAGCTGGCCAATCACAGCACACCTCGCTTTTCAGAACCATGAGCTTCGTAAAAATTTTCAGAGAGCATTTCAAAGAGGAGCAACAATAATGTACGGTATGTGGACAATAATGTGGGGTTTTTTTACCTTAAACTGCATAAACATTGCATTACACCAAATACACCAAATAATGTTGTTTTTATGCGTCATATTTGATACTGTAAAGCTGCTTTGACACAATCTGTATTGTTAGAAGCGCTATATAAATAAAGGTGACGACTTTTTAGCATCGTCATATGACCCCTTTAAAAACGTTGGAATTAAAGGACAAACTGTGAGAGCTATAAGCGTGAGTGTTGTTCAGTGCATTTTAATCACGTCACAGATAAAAATACATTCTATACATTATATTTTGATGATGTCACACATTGTGCTTGAACAAAAAACGCAGGCCAAATGTGCAATATTATTTTAACTTTGACCACAGTGAGCTTCCGTAGACTTGAGGGTGTTGTGCGTCAGCAGGTGTTTGACTTTATTAAACGTTTCCGCTACGATTCGTTTTTAAATATTGTTTTATTTTGCAGAAATAACTTTTTTCTTCATGTGTAATGTCACGCTTATTTACAGGAATCTTGGGAAGAACGGTCTGTCGAGCAGCAGTATCCTGCTGAACAAGTGTCCGCCGCCGCGGCTTCCTCCTCCTCCGTCACTGCCGCTCGCTAAAGACAAACTCAACCCGCCGACGCCGAGCATCTATGTGAGCAGCGCACGCGCGACCCTGCCTAGCAATAATTAACACTGCGTATATGTGATGCGTGTCTCTTTATAAATGTGTGTTTGTTCATGTTTCAGTTGGAGAATAAAAGAGACGCATTCTTCCCGCCGCTGCACCAGTTCTGCACCAACCCCTCCAACCCTGTCACCGTCATCCGCGGCCTAGCTGGAGCCCTCAAACTAGGTTAGAGCTCACACACTCATACTCGCACTCACACACTCTCTCACACACACAACACACACATACAGTCTCTCACACACACAACACACACATACAGTCTCTCACACACACAACACACACATACAGTCTCTCACACACACACATCTGAGCCAGCTATCAATCATCTGTCCTCTCCTTCCTCCACGTCGTCCCCCGCTTCGTCGTCCTCGCAAACGGCTACCTCAGGTGCGCCCCACGGCACCGGCCCGACCAAAGAGAGCGCCGCCCTGCAGGCCAACGGTTCCACTGCCGCCAACCACCACAGTCCCGACCGCTCGCCCACTTCCACCTCCGGCTCTCCGGCAGCCGCTTCCACAGACAATCCGCAGCTCTCCGCTCTTCTCAGGAGCAAGGAGAGTCCTGCCGTGAGCTCGAGGGTGAACCACGTCCACCCAGGCACCACGCTAACGGCATCCACCGCTTCTTCGCCCGCCTCATCACCGCCACCCCGCTCCGCAGAGCTTAACAAGCCAGGCTCCTCTGCGCCGGGACCGCCGCCCGCCCTCACCGTTAACGGAAGTGGAGGGGGAGCGTGTTCAGAAGACTCTCAGAGCCCGCTGAAGCTGGAGCCGCCGGAGCTTTGCATCAAAACCGCCACAGCTCTCAAACCCTCTCTCTCGTCCTCCACCGTCTCCATTTACCCCACATCCGCAGACGTCCTGAAAGCCTGCAGGTATGCTTAGCTCCTGTGGAGTGATGTAAGAATTATCGCCCTCTAGTGGCGGCTCATGTTTTATGCACACTGCAGACACACAGACAAACCTATACATGCTGCTGATTGACTTAAAGGTCTGGTTAAACAATGTGACTGGGTCTGGGCGCAGATCTAACCATAACCGCACACCAAACATGCTCTCTTTACGTTTGTTTAGAATTGCTGTATTAATATTGTTTGCACAGCGAGTTACACAGCATGTTCCTCCTTGAGCCCCTAACAGCTGTAGCTCATGACGTGCAGAAAAAAGGACGCTGAAACACAAGCACGTCTGAACGCTACAGCAAAGTATTCGGAGAACTCAAATGAACAAGCAAAAAAAAAATGAAATGAAATGAAAAAGCTGTCTGTGGCATTAATGTGGCGCTGTCGCCTCTGTGGACTGGACCTTCTTTGTTGTTGTATGCACAAACAGAAATATATTTTATACATTATATTTTGAAGCGCTTAAATGATGTCAGACAGTGTGCTTGTGCAAAGAAAAGAAATGCAAGCTGAATTTTAGACTTGAGGGTGTTGTGCGTCTGCAGGTGTTGAGAATCTGATGACTTTCTTTAACATTTCAGCTTTGACTAATTTGTAAATATTGTACTCTGCAGAAATAACGTTATTCTTCATGTCTAATGTCACGTTTATTTACAGGAATCTTGGGAAGAACGGTCTGTCGAGCAGCAGTATCCTGCTGAACAAGTGTCCGCCGCCGCGGCTTCCTCCTCCTCCGTCACTGCCGCTCGCTAAAGACAAACTCAACCCGCCGACGCCGAGCATCTATGTGAGCAGCGCACGCGCGACCCTGCCTAGCAATAATTAACACTGCGTATATGTGATGCGTGTCTCTTTATAAATGTGTGTTTGTTCATGTTTCAGTTGGAGAATAAAAGAGACGCATTCTTCCCGCCGCTGCACCAGTTCTGCACCAACCCCTCCAACCCTGTCACCGTCATCCGCGGCCTAGCTGGAGCCCTCAAACTAGGTTAGAGCTCACACACTCATACTCGCACTCACACACTCTCTCACACACACAACACACACATACAGTCTCTCACACACACAACACACACATACAGTCTCTCACACACACACTCACACACACTCTCACACTCACACACTCTCTCTCACACAGTTGCACACTCACACACTCATACTCGCACGCACACACACACACACACACACACACACACTCACTCTCTCTCTCAGAATCAGAAGAGCTTTATTACCAAGTATGTTTACACACACAGGGAATTTGACTTGACTTGACAGGAGCTTCCAGTGCAGAAGAAAGTGCAGACATACATAGGAATAACACAGTAGGGATGGAATATAACTAATATAAGAAAAAAAACCTGAAATTAATGTACTATATACAGAAATAGCAGTATAGGAAAAAAATTTATTGTTTAGATAAATGTACAGATATGTTATAAGTGTGCAGATATGTTATTTACAAAGTGTGCAGTTTACAAGTGTACACATTTTGGATTCTGCGTACAAATGTCAGTTGTGATGGACGATGTATAATTATGAAAGTTTAATTGTTCAGGCTGAATATAGCCTGCGGGTAACACTGTTCTTGTGCCTGGCTGTTCTGGTGCTCAGTGCTCTGTAGCAACAGTTGGAAGAGAGAGTGGGCTGGGTGTGAGGAGTCCAAGGTGATTTTCTGAGCCCTTTTCCTCACTCTGGAGTAGACTTGTGCTGGTATTCGGTAATGCGATATATCACGGTAACGAATATGCACGATATTGTTATCGTGGGCACTTCTAAATACCGTGAATAATTATATATTACAAATTATTTAGAATTTTGAATGCATTTTAAGAATACTTTTCCCATCAACTGGTCA